TCCAGAGAGCAAAAAGGCAACCCATGGGATGAGAGAAAATATTTGTAGATCATTTACCTGATAAGGGATTCATGTTCAGAATATATACAGGATTCCTTAAACTCAACAACAACCACAGACATTCAAAAGTAGGCATTTCTTCGAAGGGGATATACGAATGGCCAGTAAGTATATGAAAAGATGCTCAACATTAATCATCAGGGAAATGCAAATCAAAACTACAGGGAGATCCCACTCACACCCATTAGGATGGCTCCTACAAAAAAACAAAACAAAACAAAACAGAAACAGGTGTTGGTGGGGATATGGAGAAATCAGAATGCTTGTGTTCTGCTGGTGGAATGTACGATGGTAGAGTCACTGTGGAAATCAGGAGGGAGGTTCCCCCAAAACTAAAAATAGCATTGCCATAGGATCCAGCAATCCCGCTTCTGGGTATATACTCAAAAAAGAATTGAGAGCAGGGTCCCAAGGAGGTATTTTGCACACTTGTATTTAGGGCAGCATTATTCACAATAGTTAAGACAAAGAAGCAATCTAAGTGTCTATTGACCAATAAGTGGATAACAAAATGTGATGTATACATACCACGGAATAATAGTTTTGAAAAAGAAGGACATTCTGAAATATGGTATAACATCGATGAACCTTGACGACATTATGTTAAAGGAAATAAGCCAGTCACAAAAAGAGAAATACCGTATGATTCCACTTATATGAGATACTTTGAATAGTCAACGTGATAAAGACAGAAAGTAGAATGGGGGCTGCCAGGGGCTGGGGGAGGAGAGAATGGAGAGCGACTGATAGGTATAGAGTTTCAGATTTATAAAAGGAAAAGAGTGATGGTGATGAATGGTAGTGATGGCCTCACAACAATGCAAATGTATTCAATTTTGATAAACCGAACACAGTGGTTAAGATGGTGAGTTTTAGGTTAGGTCTGTTTTGACGTAAGAAAAATATTTTTAAATTATGAAATACACACTCATTCCAACAGAAACCAAATACGAAGACACATTAACAAAGAGCCATTCCTGACCCCCACCCCCAAGTTGCACAAATAATTTAAGCTATCAGGTAACCTAGATATGCCATTAGCTGACAGTGCTGAGCCAGCATTTTCCAAGAAGGGAAGGAAAATTCCTTTTCAGAATGAAGAACGTAATTAAAATAGTCCTAAGAAGCAATGTCTAAAGCAGAGAAATTACTTTTTATACAGAAACAAGCAAGAAAAAAAATTAAAGAGTGAAGTCTCAGACAGACGGAGTGAAAGCCAAAGGGTGTTCAGGTGGGGATGGAGAGGCTCTGCTTAGTGGTTAGCAGATGGCCTGTGTGTAGGCTCCCTGAAGCTATGCTCCAATCCAACGGAGACTTCAGGGAAACAATTCTTATTTAAGAGTATTCTTTTTTTTAATGTTTATTTATGAGAGAGGGAGCACGTGCACAGTACGACAGGGAGGGGGAGTGGGACAGAGGATCCATAGTGGGCTGCGCGCTGACAGCAAAGAGCCCCATGCAAGGACTGAACTCGCAAATCCAAGATCATGACCTGAGCAAGTCCAAAGTCCGATGCTTAACCGACTGAACCATCCAGATACCCCAATGAAAGAATTCTTATTAAAGTGGTGATAGAACCCTCTGCAAAAGATCAGCAAGAGACTGTCATTATGGATCTTTATAAATCCTTTCACATGCACCACCTTGGCCCTCAAAATTATATTTTAAAGTCACATAGGGGAAAACGTTCTTATTTCAATTTTAGAAATTAAAAGGCTTCTAGGAAGTACCTTGTACAGGTGGTCCAGCCTTTCAAAGACTTTCAACCCTGTAACCTGGGCACCTTCTGGATTACCTGACCCCCTGCCTCTCAGGAAACAAGAATGCTGAGCAGTCTCTGAATAGGGTGAGGTTAAGGTCTAGGCAATGAACGATAGATACATCAATGATCATGAACCAACACGGCAGCTAATTGACCCCAAATCAGAAATTTTCGACCTGTGGCCCAGGGATTACCAATGTCCCTAGGGACAAATTCTCTCACCATGATGAGAAATGTCTCATCCCCACTGTCACAAAGCATTCATTAGTTCAATGTGTTTCTTAGCACAAAACAGTATGCTTATCAAATAACTTTAAAGATCCCTCCTTGCGTCTCCAGAAGAGTTGGGGGCAATGTGGAAAACACTCTGGTCCTTCAGGCATTCACTACTTTACAGAACAAAGACCTTCCAAGCAAAGATGGATGTAGATACATGCTACACCTGTTTTCCAACCGATTTTACAATTAAGGGCAACTAGGGAATTAATAAATTTCTGGTGCATGGGCAAACTACTTGGGTTAGAAATTTTAGTTCCTTCGCAGTGTCCCAGTTGTTTCCTCAGTTACCTTGACTTCCACATTTCTCTTTAGGAACTTCTAATCACCCACTTGGCTCTTGGGGCCGCAATGTCACCCCCTCACCAGCCCAAGATGAGAGAACTCGGCTGCAATACCACACTTCACCGGCAGATGCCGCAGGCTCAACACCTGGCAGCCAACTTCGAACTGACTACCAACCCAGCTATTTGATGCCTACTGTATACTTGAAAAGAAATACACTAGGCGCTTCAGGTCAACTCCACACCGGTTGGTTTACTTGGACAACGCGTGAGGATTAGATTAAATCGCATAAAGTGCTTTGAACAATGAACTGAATCGTAGTGTGAAATTATTACCAGCCCAAGGTGAGGTGGCAGAGACAGGAACTTGGGTCCACCGCACTTGTCTCAGCAGACTGGTCGGGTCCCAGGGCTTGCTTTCCATCCAGTTGGGCCCTTTTCCTTTCTCCTGTCTTCCTCCACTAAACTGCTGCTACGTCCTCCAATTTGGAATCCGATATTTGGCTCCTCTACGGCAAAGAGGCGGTAGTTTTGAGGGTCGGGATCACAGTGGGGCGGGCCCAAGGAGCATCACCGTTCACCTACTGGAACTTTTAAAAGGGAGGCAGACCGGGAGGTGGCGCGGCGGGACGCAAGAGGTCGCGTTCTTACGGTCTAAACTCAACACTAAGTTTCCTCCTGTGACCTCCGGGCTCGCGCCCCATCTGCACGCGAGACCGACGCCAGCACGTGAGGGGGGGCGGGCTCCGCTCTTCTGCCACAGGCCGGGGCGGGGCCTCTGGCGGCACCTGGGCGGCTGGAACTCCGCGTGGCCGAAGGGCTGCACCTGCTCGGGGCCGGCGGTCTCGGGATCTGGCTCTGCTGTGCCCCTAGCGTGCGGTGGGCCGGGGACGACCCTCGGAAGCAGGGCGCCCGAGTCTCCGGCGTGCCTCCCGGGTAGGCACGGGGGCGCCAGCGCCCGCGCGCTCTGGCCCGCATTGGGAGTTCGGGCCCGCCGCAGGCGCACGCGCGCAGGGAGGTGCCACGTGCTGGGGCCCCGAGCGCCGAGGCTGCTGCGCTCAGCGTGGGTGCGTGGCTGCGGCCCCACGTGGGGGCAGCCCCGCCTACCGCGCGGACGCCCCCTCCCCCCGCACACGTGCGGGCCTTCGCCCCCTCCCAGCTCCCAGCGCAGCAGCGCCAGCGTCCGGGATCCCGGCTCCGGCACCGCGAGGCGGCGCGCCGGCTGCCAGGGGCTGCTGAGGGGCGGGGCTGCCGCCCGCATTGTTC